GAAAGAAAGAAAGAAAGAAAGAAAGAAAGAAAGAAAGAAAGAAAGAAAGAAAGAAAGAAAGAAAGAAAGAAAAAGAAAGATAGATTATAATTGTTCTGAGCATTTTTTCCTTATTTTGGTATATGTGTTTATATATATGTATTTAAAAATATTTTTGTTTTCCTCCTTCCTTTTCCCTTTTCATCTAACATATTAGCTATATTAGACAGATATATTATTAACAGTTTATTTTATATTGTGGTATTTAGGTTATAGAATGTCAAAGCAAAAGAGTAAACATCACCAAGGACTTCGCATCCTCTTGTGGGGAAAGGGTTAGACTAGTTTCAGTCCTAGGCAAAAGAGTTCTATCATGTTAGGTGAAGTATGACCTTGTATTACCTGTATTTGGAAACTGAGTTGACAAGGATGTACTCTAAGGGTCAGTACACCACTGATGTCACCTTGGCTAGGCTACAACCCCCAATTATTCAAAAGCTAATCTACATGTTGCTGTAAAAAAGGCATTTTTTAGATGTGATTAAAATCCATAAGCAGTTGACTTTAAGTAGGGGAGATGATCCTAGATAATCTTGGTGGGCCTGATTCAATCGAGTGAAAGGTTGTAAGAGCAGATGTGAGGCCTCCCTGAAGAAGCTCTTCCTGTGGACAGCAGCTCCCCTTGTGCTCAGGAGTTCTGGGCTATCTCTGCTGGTGGCCTGCCCTCCAGATACGGGACCTGCCTAGTCAGCCCCCACTACAAGCCAGTTCCTCTCAACAAATCTCTGAATACACATCTCTTACTGGTTTCCGTTTCTCCTGTTGAACTCAGCCGATACAGAGTTCAGCAAAACTCTCATTCATAAACTGTAATACTCATTTCAGTCATTCATTCCTCATTTGTTTTAGTTTCAGCTATGCACTGGGGTCAAGTTTATAGGGATCTATTTGTCGCTGACATAGTTTTCAAAAAGTAACACAATCTCCCATTTCTTTACTAAGATTTTAATAAAAGTAGCTACTACATTTTTAAGAATTCCCAGATCATAAAATGACTCTTTACCAACCGAATAGCATCTACTACGTCAAAGGTTAAAAAATTTAAGGGAGCCTAGATCCTAGGTTTCACACAACACAGACCAAACGATCTGCAAAAGCTTAAACCTTTAGGACCTGCATCAAAATTATGGTTCGTACAAGACATTCTACTCACTCATGTTTTAAGTTAACAAAGACTTTAATAAACACTCTTTATAAATGCTATTTACATTTCATAACATTAATGTTTACTTACTTAACACCGTATCTGTCTCTAAACATAATATGGTCCCTAAATGTGCGGTTGACATCAAGGTCTATTTGTCTGATATCTGGTGAACAACCCCGTGCTCTGTGTTTTAATTTCTGAAGAGAAAAAAAGGGGGGAAGAAAGCACATTTTTATGGAAATCAGTTGTTGAAGACAATTCTCATTAAAATAATAAATCACAAAGTAATTATCATTAAAAAACTGTTTTGGTTTAGGAAAAGCACACCTGTGGTTCACCAACGAATGTGAAAAGGCACACAATGAAGAGCTTCCCTCCCACCGATGCCCCATCTCTCCCACACCCATCCTTTCCCTCCTCCCGCCACCTTCCCCCCCCATCTTAACAATACAGTTAGATTCTAATTTGGAATGAAGCACTTTTCGGAGTCCGCCTTGCTAATAAGACTACGTAAAAGCTCTTCACAGTTGAGCCACACAGTCCGCTAGGATTTTTTTTCTTTCCAACACAATATTTTTGTTTTCCTTCGAGCTAATCATTGCCTTGTTTCTTGATTTGCTTCATTTTCTACATGCTTGTTGCTAATCCAATCCCAAACTCACTGTAAACTGCATCCATCTCCTCTGGTGCTGTCGCAATGGAAAAGGTAATCTCCGATTTCAACTTCGTGTAGATGTCTCTCCAGAGCCTTCAACCCTGCTCCAGCCTTGGGCTCCTGGACCTCTTAGCCTGCTGCACAGCTAGGGTCTTGGGGTCCCCCTTCACCCGCTGCTAGGCCTTCCTTCGCTTGGGTCCCCTGTTCCCGGGGTCTCACGTCTTCTTTCTTGGTTTATTCCCTTGTTCTGGAGGAGCACATCCTCCAGTAGCTCCTGTGGAAGGGTGTATGGAAGATAAATTGTTTTGAAAACTTCAGAAGTCTGATAATATTACCTCCTTCTTATTTAACTGTTGGGCTGTTTTAGAATTCTAAATTGGAAAGTATTTTTGCTCACAAGGCATTGCCTTTACTGTCTTCTAGTTTCCAGTGTTGCCGCTCTAATTCTGGTTTCTTTGTATGAAATCTGCTTTTTCTCTAGAAGCTCGTAGGCATTTTTCTCTCCACGTCCTGAAACTTTACATTTCTGTGCTTGATTTGCATCTATTTTTATCCACAGGGTTGGGCACTTGATGGATCTTTTCAATCTTATAAACTCGGACTCACGTCTCTCAGTTCTGAGTGATTTCTTCAGTAATTCCTTTGTCGATTTCCTCATCCCTCCCACCTGCATTCCCATTTTCTCTTCCTGGAACTCTTACTATTAGAGTGTGGAATCTCCGGCTGTCATTTAACTTTCTTATATTTTCTGTATTATTTCCCATTTCTTTGAATTTATCATCTACTTTCTGGGAAATTCCTTCAATTGTTACTCTCAAACCTTCTCTCAAATCTTTCAGTTCTATTATAATTTTTTATGATTAATAAGCTCTTTGTTGTTCTCAAAGGTTCCTTTTTATAGGCTTCTATACTTGCTTTATGGATGTAATATCTATTTTGATCCCTCTGAAGATACTTGTGATCGTTTTTTTAAGTTTTCTTCTTGCTGCTCTATAGTCTGTTTCTTACACGTTTCTTTTTTCCATTTGTTCTCGTGTATCTTTAATGTTAGCTCCTTTCCTCAAGGAAACAGTGGTATTTCGTTGTCTGCTTATATTTAAAAGTAGAACACTAAAAAGCTGATGGCAAGCTCTGTGTGCAGAGGTGGGGCTTCACGACTGTCTCTCCACTGCAGAATGATCTGGCTGGGCAGTTTCCCTGAAGTCAGTATCTCTGGGTTTATGTCCTTAGGCTGGGCAGATTCCTCAGAGAAGTCTCTTCTGGTCTCTGGTCAGGAAGATAAGCACCTGGCCGCCAATGTGCTGGGAGCAGCATGGTAAGGAGGCCAGGATGCCCCCAGCTCAGGACATGCAGTTCCTCTGTGCCATCTCTTCGCCCCCCCTGCCCCACCCCTCAGGACCATGGGTCCTCTCCGGTCCAGAGGCCCTCTGGTTCATTCTCTCCAAATGGTAAACCTTGGACCCGTGGCCAGGGTGGGAGGGGGACGTCGAGGATCTAACTGCTTCTGTGACGGACTCTGGACAACTTCCACAGTTCTGAGCTTCACCGCCACTCCCAGAGGCACCTGCAGCTGACAATTAGCAAGCCTTCTGGAGATTCTGAGATCGAAAAAAGCCAGCCCGGGCTTCCATTTTCTTGGGTTTGCTGAGTTTAGTAAATGTCTGTCTGGTTTCCAGACACTGGCAGCCACTCTCTCTCTTATTTCTTACTCCTTGTGGGCTTTTGCCTTTACAAAAACTCCCTGCTGTCAGTTTCATGGCATTTCGGGGTAAGGGAGCTGAGTGAGGATATTTAATCTCCCAAGTTGAACTAGATAAGAGATTAAAATTTATATTAATCTACACTTAACCACACTAATGTATAATTATGCATTTATATACATATATTATACTGACTCGTTTACCATGTACTGGTGATACAGATCTCTGCCTGAATCAACTCCAATAAATACATATGAAAATATAACTGCTAATTCCTGACTTCAGCTAAAAGTAGAAAGAAGTAGGCTATCTGGAATATGTGTGTATGTGTCAAGTGTTTTGTGACTACATGTACTCTCTATGTTTTGAGGCAGGAGCTCAGACAAGGGCAGCTTCTGTAGCTTCTAAAATCATGAAGAGTAACAAGAGTATACTTCAGAGTCCTAAATACACAGGGAGATACTTATAGTATTGTATTAAAATCACACGACCACTAAAATATTACTGTACACTATCCCTGATAAAAGTTGATCCAGAAGATATTACCAAAATTTAGTTTAAAAATGGTAATCTGTTCATATTTGTTCTTTCTTTTTTTTTAAAAGGTAATGGGCAAGTAAAGAGGTTTCAATGATTGTTCTACAAGTCTCCTGGTAAAAAAATGAGATGTCAAAACACAGAAAGAAAATGTTTTGACAGGACATGATAAAATGTGCTTTACAATAAAATTTAGTTCAAAGGCAGAAAATCACCCAAATACATCTATAGTATCAGTTTCTCTAGAGGAAAAGAAAATCCAACACAAAAAGGCCTCAAGACAGAAACAAATTTCAGTTAGTAGGTAAAAAATAGTAGGTCAGAAAGATTAGGTCCTAGAATATTTACAAACAAATGTACAGAATACAGGAAATCAAGCATATTTCTTATCTTAGTGCAAGGAGGTAAAGCAGCTTCTACAGTTATCTCTGAGATTGGGTGGGCTGAGACCCATGAGTGTCACAATAATACAAGAATATATATTTTATTTAAAAGAAACAGGATCTAATGAACCTATAAACCTGAAGTGGAGGTACAGTGGAAAGCATTTGTATGAAAGATCCACAATATCGCGGTGTGTTTGGCTAACAAGATTATGAAGCCCCAGGAAGGCTGTAGGTGAGGCTGTTAACCATGATGGACTGAACTTCTGCCATGTGTGAGATCTAGCACGACACACAAGAGAGATAAATGACACTGAGGTACACCTAAAAGAACAGGAGGAAGAGGTAGATGAGGGCGCCAGCTCAGGCACCAGCAAGTCTCACCCACCAGAGAAAAATCTTAATAGTTCTATTCCTCCTGAAGTTCCAACCTGAACAGAGCAACTCATACCATCTTTGGAGAGAGAGAGTAAGAAAGAGTGGGAAAGAAGGACCATCAAATAATGGTGCCGGGAAAACTCAAAGAATAAAAAAATAAAAAAAAAATTTTTTTTCCATCATAGAAAAAATAACCTTGAAAGTACTGGAAGGCAAGTCATTTCTTTTGTTTTTGTTATTTGTATGCCTGGCATTTACTAAATAGATCTCTCATGTTAATCAGTGCCTGGATCATTTTATTCTATGTAGAAAAGGTCTAAAAGATCGTTGAAAGCACAGTTCTGCTATTAGAATGTGTGCTGGATTGAATAGTGCCCCTTCTCCAAACTCACGTCTACCCAGAACCTGTGAATGGACCTGATTTGGAAATAGGGTCTTTGCAGATGTAACTGACTGAAGACGAGATCATGCTGGATTAGGGTGGACCCCAAGTCCAGTAACCTGCGTCCTTATCAGGTCAGACACACAGACACACAGACACACACAGGGAGAAGGTCGAGTGAAGAGGGAGGCAGAAAGCTGACTGAGGCAGCCGCAAGCCCTGGAATGGCGTTGGCAATGCCCGAAGCCAGGAAGGGGCGAGGAAGGACTCTCCCCCAAGCCTTGAGACGAACCAGGGTCCTGCAGACACCCTGGCATCAGGCCACTAGCTTCCAGAGATATGAGAGAAGACACCCTGCTGTCTGCAGCCACTCCGTTTGTGGCACTTCATGGCAGCCCGAGGAAACAAAGACAGCATGCTAAAGAAAAATAACTGTCTCCTCTCATTAATTAAACAAGAATTTAATGGGCACCTACCATATACCGGCACGCTGTACTAGGTGCTGGGGCTAGATTTTATATGTTTTCTCAGACACCATTTTCAATACTGGCTCTAAAACCATGATACTAAAAGCAAATATCTAATCAACAGACTAAAATAATTTGAAACTCTAAAACCCTAAGACATAAACTCATAGTCTGTGTAGGGCCCAAACAGCTAATTTAAAAAATCTTTTAGACACACAAAAAGTAACTCTTTAAATTAACCAGTATTTATTATCTTTCATCTTGATACAACATTATATACACACACAAACACATTATTTGAAAAAGAAAAGAAAATATCAAGAGTATTCCAAGGCTCCTTTTATAATTGGTATTGGGTTTAAATTATAAATAATTGTTCTTTTATCCATTTTATTCTATTTATATACATTTTCTGAGGAACATATTTCAAAAAGATTTTTAGATAATCATTCCTTTCAAAGGTTAATATAAACTTTAGATTTAGAAAGGGTATAGCTGAGATGACAAGGAGGTAAATGTAATGTATTAACTAATTTAAGGAAAGCACTATGGATCACGGAGTCAAAAGTTTGACTTTTGATTAACAAATAACAAAACCTAGAGATCCCTACTAGTCTTGGAGAAAAATTCTTTTCTCACACCCAGAAGAAAATAGTCAAGCACACACAGGCAGCTGTTGGATAAACTGAATCCCACTGTTGTTTTCCTACAAAGTCTAGAAAGGACACTGTAGATCTCTTTATTAACACTACACTGCATATGAGCAGTTACAATCAGGTGTTAGTCAATTTTCCTCATGAATACGCCCCAACACTGTTCTTTTCAAATATGTGAAAAGCACTGGATACTTACTGACTGATACAGAAAATAACATTTTCCCTGAAGTATTTGTTCGCAAGTTAGGAAGTAGATTGCACTAAACCAAACAATCAAGAAAATCGGCTTATACGACTCAATGTAGTATCATGTTAATATAACTTCAAATGATACGAATATCTTACATCACCTTGAAAGTGAAAAGAAATAGGTTTTACTTTTCAATTTCAAAATAACAAGTTAGCTTTAAATACTCACACTATAGAGGTCTCTTGTTTCTTCTTTCATTTTAGGGATCTCCAGAAGCAGAGCCCAGACTTCACCTCTGAGCTGGAGTGGGATTCCTTTGTAAATTCTCCTATGAAACTTATTGAAAGAAACAAATTGAAGGTTATAAATGACAAAAATCTTAGACTGACCCCTCAAATCAAACTAATTAATATTTGTTGGTCCTTTATTTTCAAAGTATCCATGACAACTGATACATTTTGACATGGCACACTTGGACCCCATCATCTCTACTTTTCAAATCCTAGCAGGGAGGCCTATACACAGGAAGGCAGAATACACAAAGATGAAAATGTTAAGTACACCTAGTACATTGGTATTTTCATACCATTACGAAGGTGCTTCTCATGCAGCATGAAAGCATAATCAGTGCTCTTTTTTAAGGTGTGAACATCTAATTTACACATTCCCTGTTGATATCATCAACTAGTTACATACTTTCTTCCTTTTCCCCCCATACATCTAAAAGGCCCCAAATAGCAAAAAGATTGCCTTGTGCCCAAAGTGTTTTCATGGAGTGGAGAGAATACTGTAAGCCCTAATATCTTTTCCTGCAGCATCTTCTCTCTGGGGCTTTCCAGAACCTATCAACATAACATATCCTGTCCAGCTCATAACTCAGCTAATGCCACCCGCAATCTTCAGTTTTCTTCCCACCTCCCACCACCCTGTGCCTCCCCTCCCCTCCACGCCTCCACCCCACACTCCTGCTTTCCTCTCCTCTTTTTGATTTTGGCAGTTCTCCAGGAATAACCTGTCATCACTTTTGAATGAGATAAGGAATAAATCATCAGTTTGTCAACTCTTTAGGTCCTTATACGCTGTCACTCTATGAATCCTAAGACTTCATCTACTTCTCCATCTTCCCATAATTGTATCTTTTTTCTTCAAAGCTAATTATTCAAAGTAACATACAAATCTATTATGGTCATTACAAAGTTGTGGATAATAAAACTTTGAAACTTAAAAGAAAATGCCCAAACAAGGAAATGACTAAACAAATTATGGCAGAAACCTTAGGGAGTGAGGTAAGAATAGGTACACAATTACCTTTATGATCAAAATAATATATTTTAATAGTATGGCTAAGAAAATAGGATGTAAGTTCTAATAATTGAAATGCTGACAAGTTATGAGTTAAGAAGCAGAGTTTCAACTACTGCTATATACTACTTCACTTTTTTAAACTAAAGCTAAGTCATGATGTAGCTTTATAAAAATGATGATGTGGCTTAGAATGAGTAACAATGTAGAACAACTTTTACTGTGAAATAGTGGATATTGTGAAGTTGATTCAATTAGATAATTCCATAAGGAGTTTCAGCTTTGTTCTTTTGGTATAAACATACTATGCCTCAAATTTGAAATCTTAGTAGATAGTGATTAGAATCCTGGAAGTTTTTTAACTTATGCAGTAGCTCTAACTGGAAGAATATATACACAAAGTTCTGTGTAAACCAGACTCTGCTACTTGCAACATTTCCCACATATTAAACATTTACCACCTTTAACTGCAAACTAAGTGTGGTTTTTAAAAAAATGAATTTAAGATTTATCTTCCTAAAGAAAGTTTGTCATCTACATTCATTCCAAAGTCGTAATATTTACCATTATGCTTTTTTTTTTTAAGATTTTATTTATTTATTTGACAGAGAGAGAGACTGCGAGAGAGGGAACACAAGCAGGGGGAGTGGGAGAGGGAGAAACAGGCTTCCCGCCGAGCAGGGAGCCCGATGTAGGGCTCGATCCCAGGACCCCGGGATCATGACCTGAGCCAAAGGCAGGCGCTTAACGACTGAGCCACCCAGGCGCCCTACCATTATACTTTTTAAAGGAGTATCACCCACGAAAAGTATTTTCAAATTATCTCCTAAACTTTTAAAGTAAAGATGCTGTACTATAAGCATCTAATATGAATATAGGAAGGTGTGGAAACTACCACAAATGTGAAAAGTGAAAGTTTAATAGCCAAGTAGAATATGATGGCAGGTAAGCAGATTAACTTTGATGGATGTGAATCTCCATTAGGCTGATGTTTTCAATGAGTAAAACGAGAGTCCTGACATGTATTTCTCAAACTCTATTACTTGAAAAGACTTCAGACATTATTTTATTGCTTTCATCCAATTCTGTATTCAACAACTATAGATAAATGTCTATTTTTCATCTTAAAGTGAGTAAATTTTTAAAAAAATCAAATTATCATGATTATATTAAGAAGAAATAACAGGGGCGCTTGGGTGGCTCAGTCGGTTAAGCATCTACCTTCAGTTCAGGTCATGATCCTAGCTAGGGTCCTGGGATCAAGTCCCCCATTGGGCTCCCTGCTCAGCAGGAAGCCTGTCCCTCTGCTTGCCACTCCCCCTTGCTTTTTGTGTTCTCTGTCAAATAAATAAATAAATAAAATCTTAAAAAAAAAAATAAGAGAGAAATTCAGGTAGAAAGCAAAAATTAATGGACCAGTGCTACTCCAGGGCTAAAATGAAAAATGAGGCACAACTTTTACTGAGCATTTACTATATGCAAGAAACTATTTTAAACTAAAAATAGATGTTTCTCTCATTTAATCACATCAACAATTCCATGAGATTTTATTATCCCAATTTTACAGATGGTGAAAGTGAATCACAAAAAAGTTAAGTAATGTGCCCAAGGCACACACAAGATGTCACCAACTTTCAACAAAAGATATTTATTTTACATTTTATAAAAAACAAAGACCATCTTTCCAAGACCATTTTGCATGTAGCTAGTACCCACTGTTCTGCTCAAGTGAACTTACTAAAATACACAGATCAGAAAATATTAAGGGAATCCAAGAGCAGAAAGCATTAAAATGATAATGAAACTGTATTTAAAAGGTAAGCATAACATACAGAGTTGTCAAATCATTATGCTGTACACCCAAAATTAATGTAACACTATGTGTCAACTCTACTTCAATTTAAAAAAAAGGGAATATAAAAAGGGATGTATCTGGAATTCAGCTTTAGGAGGTAGTGAAATAGAAGAACAGGTACACAAAGTCACATATACCAGAAAAAGGATTAAATTATGAGACCCTAAAATAAGAATTTTAAATTACGAAAAAAAACAAATTATGCCTATTTGTTTTTCAAATACTCACAACTCTTATATGACAGATTGACATTATGGTAACATAATTTTCACAAATTTTTACCTATCATAGAAATTTTAGAAATTTTGTAAAACAAAGTAGGAATTATATCAAGTATGACAGATACAAATAAAATTTGCTTATCTCCAGAACAGTGTCCAGTTTACATTTGTTGAGAATCCTTCAACTGACAAAGTAATATCTCATATTTTCTATGAGAGTCTGTAATGTAGGCAAAGCAAGTGCTACTCCACCTTAAATGCTGGGAGACCAGGGCACAGAGAAGTGGCTTGCCTAGGTCAAAGAATTTCGCCTTCTTAGTTCTATTTCAGGGCACTTCTGCCAAATCCCACTGCCTCTTAAGAGATTACAGCTAAAAAAGACTTCAGCAGCAGCAGGTGATAGCTGTTTATTCCAACTCATAAATGAACATCATCACTCATTCTAAAAAGCAACTACGTAATGACTGCGGGCTTTGTGGCCAACACTTATTAGGTAGGTGCTCTGGCTACAAACATGAAAAAGTTCTGTGGAGCTCACAGTAGCAGGGAAGATCTATGTGTAAGCAGATACACTGATACCATAAACTGATATCCCTTTATTATAAAATACTCCTTGCTACAGAGCTGAGCGTCACACCCTGATGGGAGAAGTCGTGACAGAGACAGACTCCCCAGAGGGGGCCAGAGTGGGAAAAGGAGAACAGTAGGCACTATACTGTCTAAATGTGCAGGAGCTGTTAGCCCTTATGTCATAGGACACAAAAGATTGGAGGGGAAAACCAGAAAAAGTTGAGGAATAAAGATGCTGGGGTGAGGGCAGTGAATGTGGTGGTTACTTCTTATTGGTCCAACACAGAGACTCTCACCTTGAGACTGTATGAGAAATATTATATCAGAGGAAGGGAGGAATGAATTTTACATTACAGAGTTAGGGAAGATCAATACTAAGGATCCACATGGATTTGCCAGGAAGGGGAAATGAGGAGATGAGGGTGAGGAAAATAATGAATCTAGTAATAATGACTTTAGTAATATAGTTATGCTAACATTTTCTGATTATTTATTAGGAGCCAGTATATGTGTTTCTATGTCAACTTATTCCTTGTAATACTATCGCATTCCCTTTTCTTTTTTTAATATTTTATTTATTTATTTGCCAGGGAGAGAGAGTGCACAAGCAGGGGGAGTGGCAGAGGGAGAAACAGGCTCCCAGCCGAGCAAGGAGGCTGTACTATCACATTCCTAAAGAGGAACATGCTATTATTATCATCCCCATTTTACGGATGAGAAAATGAAGATGTGGAAAAATAACTACCTCCAAACCATACAACTAATAAACTGTAGAAGAACTGAAATTCAGTTAGTCTGACTTCAGAGACCACAGTTTCTGGTTTTGTTTTTAAGATTTATTTATCTGAGAGAGAGAGAGCATGAGTGGGAGACAGAGAGAGAGAATCTCAAGGAGACCCCCATGCTGCTCATGGAGGCTGACATGGCACTCGATCTCACAACCTGACCTGAAACCAAGAGCTGGACTCTTAACCGACTTGACTACCCAGGTGCCCCCAGACACCAGAGTTTTAACAATCATGATATAGAATGTCTGTATGTTGGATTTAAGATATAATATTTAATAATATTCCAAGTTAAAAAGTACTACCTTTAAAAATCCTGTTAGAAATTTATTTTATGGATATGATACATAAAATCTTTAAGGAAAAATAAATGAAGGTTCCCTGAAATCCACCTTTTGCTTTCAGTATCTTTGTTCCCTTGCCAACAGAATCAAGTAGTCTATTTCAGTCACAAAGATATATTTAAACATCCATCAACTAAAAAACAATTCCACTGACTGACCTAACATTTTCAATACCTCTTTCTAACCTTAGTGATTTCAAAATAGTGATGTATGCACCAGTCCACATCACACACTGGCCAGTAGCCAACTTTGTAGCCCACCCAGCAGGGCTCCATTTGGGGGACTTGCAACACTCCAAGTGTATTACCATGAAACAAGAGTTCATGCTGAGCTGCTTATCTCTTTACTGTCTCTCCGTTTTCTTAAAGCATCCCTGCTCCATTATAACTCCTTCATCTCTGCCTCCGATAGGCATGAGTCCCTCACGGCCAGATCTAAAAAAGTTTTAAACCATACACAAGGCCCTATTGGCTCTTATAACTACATTCTATTTCCTTCTGACTTTTTATTGACAAACACCAAAAGGGAAAGCAAACATGAAAGATGGTACGGTAAAAGAGCCCTTGAGTGTGGGCATGGGATCTCCTGCTGCGACAAACAAGCTGTGTGACCTTGAGAAATTTATTTATAAACTTGGTGCCTCCATTCTCCCATCAGTAAAATAAAACGCTAACTAATATAAGGTCCATTCAGTTACTTGACTAAAAAAAAAAAAAAAAAGGAAAAAAGTGTATCTGTCGTAGGTACTCTGCTGTGACATAGCTTAGGCACAATTACATCATGACTAATTAAATCATAATGTCTCCAGCTAACAGAGATGACTTCATTTAATAGAGTATATTTTTTAAACTCAGTACTACTGAACCAGGCACCGTGAGAACTGTGAGACACACAGGCAACACAAACAACCTTAATGGAAACTGCCTTTCATTAAAGCTTGGGTTCTAAAGATCCAAATATTCTCTATCACAGCTATATTTTAATTTCAAGACACTTGCAGAAATTTCTTTGTGTTACCGTTATGTAAGTAAGGAATCTGTGGAGAGAAAACTTCACCTCCTCTTGGAAGAGAAGAAAAACACATGCTACTTTTTTTTTTTTGCCTCAGTGCAATTTAAAATGAGATATGAATTGAAAGCAGCAATTCTTTTAGAAAGTACATTCTGTTGCACACCAAATTGGACCATATATATTATCAAATAATTCCAGCATTATAGTTGTGGGAAAGTGCTTTAAAATTATACATCAAAGAAACAGTTCTGTTCAAATCTCTCTTGCTAGGAACTACATTAGTCAGACTTGCTGTCAGAATAATGGCCTGGTAGAATTGCTCATTTTTACACTGGCTTACATACTTTCATAGATCTATGTATACTCAAGGAGAACACAAAGCCGTATAATTCTACAAATATCTTATTAGACCAAATGTTGAGATGAAAGTGTAAGTGCCGCTGCATCGACATTTACCCTGTAATTACCACTTGAGCAATCTTCCCACAGACATGAGGTAAAGTAGGTGCCAACTTTAGGCCACTCTGCATAACTAACATTCTACTTTGAACTGATTCCTTTCAAAACTGATTCCTCTCAAAAGAACATCTTGAGTTCCAACCTAATGCTAAAACACACAATAAAATCAACAACCCCAAAATGAGCTAACTCCTGATGAAAATAAAATAATAAAAGAGTCTAACAGACTTTAAATAAGGGTAGTTAGGATGCTCAAAAAGAAAAGGGCATTAGTCCTGCAAGATGCTCTATGACAAAAAGATTTCCACGGTCGAGTAAGTTTCAGTCAGTTTAAGGTCCGTCTTGAAGGTGTGGTCCCCCGACCACGTGTTATAATAGTAAAGTCTCTGAGGAGTCCTGTAGTAAAGGACTTAACTTTGCTTCTCTTGGGTTAGCTCTGATATTCCCAACTTTATTTCAAGAAAGCCCCTTTCTCTTTAAAAAAAAAAAAAAACAAAAACAAAACTTCCACCACCATGAACTTCGCAGCTCCCCAATGTTTAAAGATTTTTGTGATGAGGCTGGTGGTGACAGTAATAGATGTGTATGTTATGTTTTAATTGGTTTAAAACTCAGCACCAACTCTGCAGGGCAAAAACATTTAAGGGGAGGTTTGCTAGAAGCTTTTGGAAAGATTGCTCCTGCTTCAGGGAAAGCTGCCAAGGCCAGCCCTCCTCCTGAGCAGTGTGACGTGTGGGTGTGAAGCCCGGAGCTGCAGCACGGGTTCTGACCCCAGAGGGAAACCAACCCCAAGGGAAAGCTGGCACTGCAGAAGGCAGAGCAGAGACAGGAAACGAAACTAAGGCACAGGCAACGCAATGGAGCAGCTGAAGCAAATCACTCCTGAAACCATCCTACCTCGGGACTACCCGGAACAGCCTCTAAACTGCTGAAACCTATCTGTATTGGATATTCTGTTAGGACACAAAGACTCCTAATTTGAGGCATCCCAACTAAATTAAAGTTTTTTTTTTTAAAGATTTTATTTATTTATTTGACACAGAGAGAGAGTTAGCGAGAGCAGGAACACAAGCGGGGGAGGAGAGGGAGAAGCAGGCTTCCCACGGAGCAGGGAGCCCGATGAGGGGCTCGATCCCAGGTCCCCGGGATCATGACCTGAGCGGAAGGCAGACGCTTAACGTCTGAGCCACTCAGGCGCCCCTAAATTAAAGTATTAATATACTTCTATAACTTAAGAGAAACTTTTATCGGGAAAATTCACATTGAATTTGTGTAGTTTCAGATAGAAGTAACATTTTAATTACCTTTTCAGTGTTCTTGTATTTTTCCCATCCTTTTAGCATTTTCAACCACTTAGTAGTTCTTTCAATTTCCAGTTGCTTTTGCTAAAATAAAATTGAAATTCATTGTTACTGTTTGAGTCTTCCATACTTACAAATTACAAAAAAAAGTCAAAGAAAATGCTGCTAAAAAAAAAAAAACCACTAAAACAGTTAAGCTCTTAGATAAGCAAATACACTATCTAACTTTAAAAACTTAGATAAGTGATTATAGTTGTAGCAATAGTATTCCATAGCCGAAGTTAAGATACATGGGAGATGCTCCAATGGGACAGGTAAAGAGAAAGGAATTGTTTAAATTTTCCAATGTTTTTAAACTAATCACTGAAAACCCTATGTATTCTACAAAATTAAACCAAAAGGCAGTTCTAAAATATTTTGCAATATTTTTAAAGCAGCAACAAAAAAAAACTTCAAAATTCCATTCTCTTCTTTTATATTTTACTGAATTCTAGCATCTTAATGTTTTCAATGACGGAGATGATTCTTTATAAAGGAGAACTGGGTATTTATTTGTGGAGAGATTAATATCTAACTAGCAATTTGTTAGTGAAAAATTTATCCAAAAGTAAGTAAAAGTTGCCGCCCTGAAGAAAGTTCAGGGCAAGTCAGGGCAACTGTCGTGGACATGGATGGTACTGTGACAGGTATGGCAACATACGGTCAGAAAAGGTGACCACAAGGTCACAATGGAAGAAGCAGTCAAATCCACCTAGAGATGTTAAAGAAGGTAAGCCCTAAATGAAGAATTGAAAGATTATTAGGATTTTTATCAAGTGCAACGTGGGACTGAATATTCCACGAAGCACGGATAAATGTCGTTCTGAGACGGTGCAGCACCGCGGGCGGCCGACAGTAGTTCTAAAAGGCTAAAAAAGGAAGCATCAGGAGAGAGGCTGAAAATATAGGCAGGGGTCTTGGATGTCACACCAAATTGGAATTGGAGCAAAGCTGGGGAATGGGAAAGGTGGTACAGGTAATGCTTCTTCCTCCCTTCTTTGGTTTCCAGGAGAAGGGATGTTTTTTCCTAATTATTCGGGCCTGCTGTCCAATCTCTTATTCACTCATAAGGTGGTAAAGCGACTTAATTAGTAAGTTTAGAAAAAGATCTGGGCATGTACAGCTCCTCTGTCCCTTTTCTGTGGAAGCCTAAACCCTCAGAAGGCACATTTGTACTCCATCCTTTCAGACAGGGAAAACACTCTTCTCAGCCAAGAAGTCAGCAGTGACCTGCCTGTCTGTGACCAGGTGGTAGGACTGTCTCCTACCTGGCTTCCGAGTTAGGGAGCCCACAGCTGCTGCACGCCTAACCTGCATTCTCCCTTAACACCTCTGCACCTCATGAAGGCGGAGACGTGTGCGGTTTCCCCAGTCCCCGGCACAGAGCAGGCACCTATTTCATTTTCAGGAAAAGAGCCCAATGTGATCGTTTCTTATGAGTGAGCTGAGATTCCGCTATTTTGTTAATTCCCAAAGCCCACATTTTCTTTTCTGGAGGCCTCTGTAAGTGTAATAGGTTTATGAATCAAAAGCACAGGAAATGAAAGACTAGACAGCAAAGAAAACAGTTCTGAAGATTTACTCTGTGCTCAAAACAGTGTGCTCATTACAACACTGTGAGGTATGTATAATCATCCCTATTTTACAAATAAGGAAACAGCGGCACAAGGCAGTCTAATGGCTTTCAGATTCCCTATGCAGTAAATTCAAGTGTGAAGAGCGGTTCACAACCGGGCAGCTAGGCTTCAGGACCTGCCCTCTGAGCCACAGCAGCAGGTCTCCTGCTTCCCACGTGTCCTCTTCGCGGCTCACGCGACCACAGTTTCCGAGGAAAGCTCCTTATCAACGGTCTTCCACCCAGCCTCACACAGGCAGATGGCATATGCCCACCACCAATATTTTTAGATTTAAAAGAAGCATAAAATCCCAAAGAAAATCCTGATTTTAGGAAAAGATCCTCATTTTCCAAAAATGAAAATATTTTTAGAGAATTTTATTTTTAGGCATATTTTTTTTAAGATTTTATTTATTTATTTAATTGACAGAGAGAGAGCGAGAGAGAGACAGCGAGAGAGATAACACAAGCAGGGGGAGTGGGAGAAGGAGAAGCAGGCTTCCCGCGGAGCAGGGAGCCTGATGCGGGGCTCGATCCCAGGACCCTGGGATCATGACCTGAGCTGAAGGCAGTCGCCTAACCAACTGAGCCACCCAGGTGCCCCTATTTTTAGGCATATTTTTAAAACTCTTTAATTACTTCTTAACTCTTTCTAAAAATTGTGATGTGTTTTTCATAATAAAAGATCACTCGTGAGCAATAAACATATTGTTATAATTCCCATTTTTCAAAAGACTAAGCATATTCTTCATTATATTATTAGTGATAAAATGTTGCTGATGTTTCCAGAAATATGTTTAATTTTAAAGCTCAGTGGGGCACTGAAATCTAATTAATGTTTCCGCTAAATGTGACTTTAGAGAAGGCCAAGCTGTGAAAAATCAAGATTGATTTAAGTTTAGTATTTTTTTTGTTCTTCTGCACTTCCTCCCCTGACTTCTTCAAAGCACAATCCCTTTCTCCACCAACAGGAAAACACCAAATAATTCAAGCCAACCCAAGAGTATAATAACATACACTTTGCCAGGAACAACCCTGCTGAGACCTAGCAGGTCTCTTGCTATCCTTCACCTTTATGACTATGAATTATCAATGAATCATTTTAAGAACTAGTTACTCTTTATTTTTAAAGGCATATTCTGTATTCTATTTCTTATCATATACACAATTTTAAATGCTACACAATAACATGCAAGAACAAAACACACACACACACACACAATTTTAAAAACCATTAATAAGTATGCTTTTCTTTCCCCAAAGGGAAGGGGGGGAAAAAAAAGATACATGTTGGGAAAAGCCCCGGGCTGCAGGATTTAAAAATTAAGTGTCAGTAGTTCCATCAAGTTTAAATGTTAACTCCATAATGCCATCAATTCAGCCACACCTGACTCGAGTGCAAGTGATTGTCCCGCCTGCCCCCCCTCCACTCATGAATCTCTAACTCGTAGATAAAATATACTTTATCACCAAACATGCTACCACTAACTGTTCCAGAACTTATTCTGAAGTAAGAAGTAACTGAAATCACAAATGACAAATCTGAACGTGAATGCTCTAGAAAAACAGGGTAAGGTACACCATCTTGTCATGGACTCAGTAACACCAAGACAAACTAGAATAGAAGAGAAAGTGAGAATCTTGACATAGTTCAGCAATCCTAATTCCTAGATGAAGGCACTAATTCCTTACTCGTAGCCCTGATGGTCTTCAATCCCACCTACTACAACTTTTTAAAATGTGTCACAGTTAAAAACGCTTCAATGGCTACTCACTATCTACAAATGAAATTCAAACTTTATGGACCCTTCACAATATGGTCCCATTCACCTTCCAGTTTTACTTCTTGCTACTTGTATCATCTGGCCACTCTGAAATATTTGTCATTCCCAGCACATGATGTGTTTTTATACCTCTTTAACCAAAGTTTGCTATTTGTCTGCCTGTGATGCTCTTCCCCACCATCATATGGTAAAACGTATCCTCTCAAGACCCAGTCACATGTCAAAGGTCTGGAACCTTTCTCAAATGCCTCCATGCTCCAAGCAAAATTAACTGTTTACTCAGCATTTTATGGCATGGACCAAGGACCCAGTTGGCCTGGATTCAAATGTGAATTCTGCTCCTTCTCATAGTTTCATTTGGGGCAAACTGCTTAATCTCTCTGTATCTTAGTTGTCTTGTTTACAAAATAAGAATTATTATGATTATTGTTGTAACACCTAACAGCTGTGTTTTAGTTGCCCTAAATGCCCAAATCTTATCATTATTGTTATTATTCAAGTATAAACTCCTTGAGAACAGGAACCATATCATATATTCCTGATTTAATTTCATCACCTAAAATAGTGGCAGTTATATTTAAAAAGTCAAATAAATATTTTAAAATTAAACATAATTTATATTAAAAAAGACAAGCAAACAGCACTGTGAAACAAATAATAGCATTCTGTCACCCCAGAGGTAGAGGGGTAGGAAGGAGAAAGAGGATGAATGGATGGAACAAGATCATAAATACTTTTGACAGCAATTCAATCACTGTAACATAGAAATAACCAGAAATGCATTATAACAGTATCTCTTATGTAGCATAATGGTAAAAATGGTATCAGTCCATCATGTTGGCAACACTTTTCAAAGTAGTGCCAAAAGACAGAACTACTGATGTTAGAAGTCTATACAAAATTGGTATTAGATAACTCTGTTGATTTCAAATACAGACACCTTTATTTCTCCTAACTTTTGCTTTGAAATACTTTAAACCTACAGAAGGTTAGAACAGTGCACCATATACTTCTACAGTTCACTCTTGAACAACATGGGTTTGAACTGCATGGGTCCACTTATATGTGATACAGTACAGGACTGTAAATGTATTTTCTGTTCCTTACAATTTTCTTTTACTTTTTTTATTGTTATGTTAATCACACCTTACATCATTAGTTTTTGACATAGTGTTCCATGATTCATTGTTGTTCCTTACAATTTTCTTAATAACACTTTCCTCTAAAAGAAACTAAACTTAACTAAACTGAACTAAACTGAACTAAACTTAAACCAGTAGCTTACTTTATTGTAAGAATACAGTATCTAATATATAAGAGCATATAAAGTAGATTAATACATATTAATAAATGTAATAAATGTATTTATTAACAGTTAATTGACTATTCATGTTATCCATCTATGTTGGCTTCCAGTCTACAGTAGGCTAAGCAGTTAAGATTTGGGGGAGTCAAAAGTTGTATGTAGGGGCGCCTGGGTGGCTCAGTCGGTTAAGTGTCTGCCTTCAGCTCAGGTCATGATCTCAGGGTCCTGGGATGGAGCCCTGTGTCAGGCTCCCTGCTCAGCAGGGAGTCTGCTTCTCCTTCTCCCTCTGTCCCTCCCCCCTGCTTGTACTCTCTCTCTTTCTCTCTCTCGCTATCTCTCT